GCGAGCGTGTCGACATATCCCCCTCCTTTCTCTTCCTTCTTCGAGGGTCAATTCTCTGACTTCTCACTCACCGGATTTCTGACAAAGCCCGCGGTCCTCCTATAATCTACCATGGTAGGGCTTTAAATCTTTAATGTGCCAACGGCCTAAGGCCTTGCCATTTCTTGATTCTAGCTCATACGTTACGGCCGAAATTCGTCTTTTAACTGTATAAGGACCAAGATACTTAGGCAACAAACCGGCGGTAACCTTTTCGCCCGCTGAGTTCAAGGCATAGTTTTTTCTTAGTACTGAATCTCCTACCTTAAATACCGAGTCCCTACGTCGCAAGTTGTATCGGCGACTCGCTTTCTCATACGCTTCTTCTAAATTATCTCGTACCAAGAGATATATGTCTCGCAGCGCCGAAATTTTTTCAGCCCACTCCTGTGGAAGAGTAGGATCCAGCTCCGGAGATCCTTCCGAAGCGTCCATCACGCTAGGCAGTTTCAGCTCTCTGCCCAGGTTCAGGTAGGCCGGCGTATAGCCCGTTGCCGAATGCACGGCGGTATTCAGGGCATACGCAAATTCTCGTAAATAGAGATCCCAGTCGTTATGATGTTGTCCTAAATAGGAAGAAAATATTGTTTTAATTGCTCTATTTACCCGTTCAGTAGGGTTGGCCTGAGGGCAATAATAAGGAGTAAACGTCTGGGATATGCCGTAGGTCTCAGCGATGGTGCCCATGCGCTTGCTCGCATATTGCGGACCGTTATCACTCAATAGCACTCTTGGTAAGCCCCAACGCAATATAACTTGCTCCTGAAAAGTTTCCAAGACTGCTTTAGTAGTGGCAGTTCTGAGAGGTTTACATTCGACCCATTTCGTGAAGGAATCCTGGAACACGACTATATAACGATGCCCCTTGTTAGTTCTTGGATACGGGCCTAATATATCGGACGTAACGGTCACCCAAGGACCGTCTTGCTTTCTACATCCCATTTGGCCCCGGGGCACCTGCTGTTCCACCTTATGTACTTGACAAACGTCGCAGGACTTAACGTATCGAACGACGTCCCTAAATAGCCCTGGCCAAAAGTAAGCCTGGGCAATCCGCAGAAACGTCTTAGTTATGCCCAGGTGTCCTGCTGTCGGAAGATCGTGGTTCTCCTTAAATATCTTCTCTCGGAAGTCTTGTGGAACTACTAATTTCCACCTGGTCGTTGTTCCATCAATCACTTCTCCCAGTTGGTCTAACTTAAGATGATACAGCCGATTTCCTTCTACTCGCCAGTCAGGCCATTTGTCCGGTTCTTGTTGGACCTGCTGCCGCCTACCCACATACCACTCATCGTGGGGGTTCTCAAAATCCACCAGGGTTTCATCCGCTATAGGAGCTCCTAGGGCATTAATCCTAGATAGCGCATCGGGAACCTGATGAAGCGTGCCCTTACGATGCACAACCGCAAAGCTGTAGTCCTGCAGCTCTAACGACCAACGGGCTAGCCTTCCCGAAGGATTTTTCAGGCTATTTATCCATTTCAGAGCGTAGTGGTCGGTACACAAAATGAAGTGGTACCCCTCTAAGTAAGGGCGAAACTTCCTGATGGCCCATAAGGCAGCCAACAATTCCTTCTCAGTTACGGAATACTTCTTTTCGGCTTCCGAG